ACAGTGGGGTTAGTAGATGTCTTTGATAATGACTTGTACATATACATTTGTGTTTGACTCCAATAGTGACAGAAAAACTTGTCCAATCCAATGTCTTTAATGCTACCACTGTGAGGTGCGCTGTATTTTAACATCTGCAGTGACAAAATAGGATCCTTGTCACCTAGTTCTAAGGCATTTCTCTCTTGCTTTGCTTTGCGCAGGGTGGCCAAATTAGGCAGATGGCTTGGCTCAGGATCTCCAAAATCCATCAGCTTTGTTGCCTCCGATGCCCTCCATACATGGGGTTCCATTCTACCCTCACACAGTTCTTTGGATATCTGCACACGCACGTTACCAGACATCGGACGCTTGGAACAGCCAGTGTGCAGGGAGTCATCTGTGTTCTTAATGAAACACTTTAGCACCATTGGGCTGTTCATTTCAGGCTCTCTGTCACATTTTATGTGAATGTGGCCATGACACTCCTTACACTTGCCTCTGATTTCTATATATTTCTCTGTGGCTGATGGATAGACCTTGGCTCTTTTAAAGGCAAATGTGCAGGAGCTTTTCACTTCTTGCCAAATGTGGTGATTTATCAAATGCGTCCAGATGCCAGGCTTCAAAATTGTGTATTCCCTTTTTTGTGTTTTAGAGAACTTGTTTTTGTATTGAACTGTTTCAGTCATAAATTCAATCCATTTCTGAAATGGAACTTCAAGATCAAAAGTCCAGCAATCTTTTGGTCTGGGGGAAAGGGACCCTGGCTCAAAATCAGTGTCATCACTACTGCCACCTGTTTCATGATCACTTTCATGAGTAAACCCTAAAGCAGTCCAGATGTTGCGTCTGTTTAATTTAACAAAAGTGTATAGAGCCTTTGCGGTGATCTTGTTCTCTAGCTGCTTACTAAGCTCTGTCCAGATGTCCTGATTAGGAGTAGCCATGTTGCCACTTCTGTCTATGGCCTCTTTTGATGAACACAGGACTGTGAAAATAAAATCCCTGTCGACTGCTGGTTTCTTGGGCATCTGGCATAAGCAAAACATAATTACTCACTTAAATAATCCTGACTCCAAAAATGTCATGTATAGTATAAATCTGCATTACTGTATTGGTCCAAATATAAGGATAATATAGTAATAATATATAAGGACGTTATATCTTATATTACTAACAATACGGTAATGTTGATCCCTAAATGCACAACATATTCTAAAAACTAACATGGGTCATATGTGCAAACTGTAGTTGGCATTTAATTGCTAGTGATATGAGTGATATAAGTATTAGCAATGAGTTTTGACAATCTTAGCACACTTGAATGCTGTACCGTTGTTCTTGAAGTTACCCTTACAAAAATTAACCATTGTTTTAGTATAGTAAAAGTGTAGTAACCAAGTTTTTTTTTTAATTATTTGGCATATTCATTACCATTTGTATAAACGTTTTACTACAAATATCATGGTTAAACTATGTTTAGTGCAGCAAAACCATGGTTAATTTATGGTTACCATGGATTTATTTGTAGTAACACCATGGTTAATTTTCATAAGGGTAACTAATAATATTGTGAACTGACACTGTTAAAACATTGTACTTACAGTTACAAACTCAAATTTCTGGTCAATGTATCAACTTTTCCTCTAACTCAATTTCCACAAGAGCATCTTGAACAGAAGTGTCACCTCGTGGTGGGAATGAAGTGTATCAGATGATACTCTTTGTAAATAAGTTCAATCAGGTGAGAACAAAAGCGCTGAAGTTACACAAAGCTACGACTTGATGGCGCTCGCGCACAAAACCATTTTAAGTTAGAGAAAGTGACAGAAAAAGAGTCTGACAGCAGATGAATAGTGAGATTCTTTTAATAAACACAGCAATGACTACAAAAAGCATTGATAAAAAGTTGTTGTTCTAATAAAACATCACTACAATCCAACAATTTGGTAAGAAATTGAATAAGCGAGGAACCCAAAATAAAATGCTAAATAAAAGCAAAATAAAAAGCAGCACAAACGAAGCACTAACGATTGAGACTATTTTGGGTGAGTTTGGAGCGTGTAGGGGGGCTGGTGACGTCATTGCCTTTAATGTAATGTCTAATATTTTAAAAAACAAAGCAGCACAAACAAACGAGACTATTTCGGGGGAATTTGGAGCATGTGGGGGGACTGAGTGACCTCAAAAACAACATTAAATATTATTTTAATATCTTAAGAACCAAAGCAGCACAAATTATTATTTTTACGGCACAAACCAGCACAAACGGATCACAAACAAACACAGGTATTTGGGGTAAATTTGGAGCGTGTGGGGGGCTGGTGACGTCATCGACCCTAAAATTCAATGTCTAATATTTAAAAAAACTGCTTTAAGAACTATATCTATCTGTAACTCTTTTCCTATCTTTAATGACATGTAAATCTCAATTTTATTCTTTCAGTTTATAATGTATTAACAACCCCCTTTTTCTTATTTTTTCCTGTTCTTTTTCTTTCTTTTTTGTTATTATTGTTTATCTTTTTTATGTTAATGGTTGTATTATTCTATGTGTACTATTCTTGATTTTTGAGCATTAATAAAAATAAAAATAAATAAAATAAAATATTTAAAAAACTGAAGCAGCACAAACGAAAATTGTTACAGCACAAACGAAGCACTAACGATTGAGACTATTTTTGTGACTTTTGCGTTGGGTGGGGGGGCCAACTTCACGGAGGTGCTGGGAGACAGCTTCAGCCTGACAGAGACAGCAGCCGTTAAACCCCAGTCCCCAGCCACACAGCACATGACACAGAGCCAGCCTCACCTCTCCTCCTCTCCCTCCAGCAGCTTCCGGTACGCGCTGATCTCCATTGTCCGGCGCTAGCTTGACGTCCAGCAGTTGCTCGTACTCGTCCAGCTGCGGCATCTTCAGTAAACAAGCTACAGATAGTCCAAAATGCAGCGGCT